CCTCACAGGGATGCTATTCATCAATGCGGGGGGGCCCAGGGAGGCCCCAGCTTCACGTGTGTGTCCGTGTGCGACCATGGATTTGGTCCTCCTGGAGAGAGTTGCTACTGAAAGATCCAAGGGACGTGGGTGTTGGGAGCAGCGGTCTGGGCTGCAGATTCGAATTTGGGAATCTCTATAGGAAAACAGAAAGCCAGCCGAAGCTGTGGCCTTGTGTGACGTTGCCGAGAAATAGGAAGAAAGGAAGAGGGCTTTCTGCGTCCCTGAGGCCAACACGTCATGGCTCCGGGAGGGGTGTCAGCCTGCAAAGGAGACACAGGAGGAGCTCCCCACATCCTCCCCCGCAGAGGAAGGAGAGAGCGTGCGACCAGAGACACCACATGTTTCACGAAGGGACGTGTGAACAGCGTTGAAAGCTTTGAGAGGTCAAATAAAACATGGGCTAAAGGACACGGTCAGTGAGCAGGAAAACAATCTCGGAGAAGTTTCACTGTGTCACCTGCATCCCCAGCTAGATTCTCGGTGGCAGGAGCAGCAGAGGGCCGAGCGAACAACTGTCCATCAGTTTGGCATGCTGACGATATACACACCCTCAGATCAGCCAGTGGTTCTGCTGTGACCCCCGCCCCCTTCCAACCACCAGTTCGTTCTTGGATGCATCTTGACAGGAGCAGTTCTGTGCTGGGCACCCGACACACAGAAGGGGACCACATGCACCCGTTGCCCCAGGAGCTCGCAGTCTGCTGGGGAGACAAACCCGAAACCCAGAGGACGGTTGCACCGCAGCACTGGCCGAGCGGCTCGGGTGCCCCGAGCGGCAGGTGTCAGCAGCCCCGTGTGTGTGGTGGCATCACGCGCTGAAGCAGACCTAAGTATTCCCAGAATTCCGGGAACCGGCTCCCCTCCCTCGGAGGCCCCCGAGGGCCTGCGAGAGGGACGGCCTCCCCGCTGCAGAGACCTGAGACCGTCTTCCCACAGGGACCCACTTCTCTGTGAAGGGTGGGCCACAGCTGATTGTGGCCGCTGACGTCACCCTCTTTTTGTTTCCCACAAATTAGGTCCACCAGTCTTACTTGGTTTTATGATACGTACTGAAACTTTTGAGGGGTGTTCTCTGGAACTGAATTTGGCTCAAGGGAAGGAGAAACAGTACAAGCCAATCACGTTCCCACAGAACGCCCGCTCGCAGCAGCATCAGAATTCCTTCCCTGGCTTCCACATCACGTGATGGGGTCCGGGCCCTGTGGGTGCTTCTCTGCCCCCACCAGTCGCTCCCAGCCCACCCGCACACTTGATACGGTCCACCTCCTATCTCTTTCGAACTCAACGAAAGCACAAAATTTTGTCGAAAGTTGCTAGAAATTACAAATACCTCTGAAATTTTCTACCAGGGCCTACGTTGTGACGTGTACCTTTATCTTAAGCCGTCCGTCAGCATCCTCAAATTAACGTCTTCCCGGAAAGCCGGAGCCCACAGCAGTCACTACAAGGGATGGGCCACCCTGTCACCTGGAGATCTGTGTGTGTGGCCAACAGGGAAACTGCTGGACTTCCCAGAAAAAGTAAGAACTCGAGGGTTTTGAAGCATTTATTTGATTTCTCCGAATGATCACAGCTATGGTTTTACATCAGTAGAGTCCGTTACTACTTACACACAGAACGCATAGGAAAACAAAAGCACTTCTTTCCTCCCCAAAGTTACATCGTGGGTGCTGGGCTTCCTGCGAGCGAGGTGGCCCTTGAGGTCTGGAGAGCCTGCATTCAAGACCTGGTTCTAAGTGTGTGAAACGACTCGAGGTGAATGACAGTGCCCCAGAGGAGATGGTCCCACACACGACCTTGGCACGACCGCAGGCGGGTCACACGGTGACGCCCCCCCCACGCCCCCTCGCTGTGCCCATTCACCACCCTCACCTCACGCCGATTCACTCTGCAACCCACTTCCTGGATTATTGTTGTTGTATTGAAAATACTTACAAAAGGACTCGTTTTTCAGGCAGGAAGGGTGATGGTATTTTACAACGGACTGTAAGATGCATGCTTACCTGTAGCGACACAGCTTCGTACGGTGCTGAGGCAACACCTAGCGTCATGTTTAACATCTGCTGTCTTTTCAGCTCGTCTTAAAGAAAACCAAGAGGTTTCTGCTGCATGCAGTACGAGATGGAAAAATCGCTCTACACAGGATGACTGAGGATGTTTTTAAGCAAGATGTGCACATCATATTAGGATGAACTTTATTTTTACATTGTTGTGCAATCCATTCATAAACTTAAAAAGAAAAAACAAACATGATTTAATTGTTGTCCCAGAAAAGATGTCTGTGATGGTACCAACTGCTTTCTCTAAGGGTCACCTGCTGAAATAATTTGTGACTTGAGCAAAATGCCCCACGTGTATCTTGACAGCGAGAAAGGATGACGCACATCCCGGTGATGCTCAGCCTCCCACCTCCCGTGCCAGGGCGTGAACCACAGGTGCCCACAGCTGTGACCCTGGGACGGGCTGGGATCCCGAGAGCGCAGTCTCAAGAGAGCTACATGGGGCCGCAAGCTTTCCAGGAGCATCTGCTTCCCAAACGAGTTTGGGGCAGCCTGGCTCCAGCCTCCTCCAGGGAACAGTGTACCTTTTGGGAACACTTATTCCATGACAAGGTTGGAAACGAAACACAAAGACTGATGGAACCTCACTGACCAGAACCCAATCCAGCAGAAAGTTGGAAACACAGGGAAAGACTCCCCCCACTTTAGGGACCCAGCCCGGTGACAGTCTGGAGGTGGGGGTCCCGAATGGCCTGCAGAGAGAGGGCACCCTTCCCACCGGCTCTACCCAGCTTGGCTCTGTTTCCATCAGTGACTGCCCTTCGGAAAGGGCGACCCGGTGTCAATCAGCCTGCCTGCATCTTTTCTGGAACAAGCTGGAGTTTACAGTTAGATCCTACGATTGGTACAGAGGGTGGAGAAAAGCCGACATACTTAATGTGTTATCGCTTTACTTCAACTATTTGTCAACAGTAACACTGAGAGGGTTTGCAAATACACAGAACACAAAGTGTGGCCTCGTGCCTGACGCCAGAGGACATGCAGTACAATTCGATTGTTCCTTGTCATCACAACGCCCTTTAAACCACAAGACAGAGAACGCCTCGGGAGCAGGACTCTGGAGGGAAACCAAGGAGTTTCGGGGTCCGCGGAACCGGGGAGCCTCCCACCAGCCCGGCCTGGACCAAATCACACACGCCCGTGCTTTTCGTTTCTCTCTTTCTGAGCAGATGAGAGAGAAGGATGACACGGACGGGAAGATAAAGGCAGGCAGGTTAAAGTCACACTTCTTTCAAAAAAGGAAAAATAAACAACCAGAAAAGCTAAACTCTAGATTGCTGTACTTGCTCTCTATGGAGATTAACAAAGTGCTCGGTTTGCAGATCTGCTGGTTTGGTGACCTGGATGATGCAACAAAGGGGGCGGTGGGCGGGCAGAGCCCCGGCCACCGCCAGGGTGGGCCCCCCTCCGTTGTCCCGCTGCCGCCTGTCCAGGGCCCCGCGCCCGCGGAGTCCCGCGCCAGCTTCGCCCTTTCTGGAAGAGCTCCCTGCCCGGCAGGTGCCGGGGGCGATCCTCGGGTCCACGGCTTAGGAGCACAGCACTGGCGGCTGCGGTGGCTCGAAGGGCTGAAACTACAAAGTACGGCCCGTGGGTGACTCAGGCACAGAACCAGGCGCGTGCGGCGCCAGCCCCGGGGGAGCGGATGGTGTCACCACAACATGGAAGCGACAACAGCACAGCGGAGAGTCATGTGATGCCCCGGCAGCCGCCTGACCGTGAGGAGGTGGCAGGGCCGCGCACTCGTCGGCTGGGGTCAGATGGGCCACGGCGATGACACGGGGGTCGTGCTAGCCACATGGAATCACGATGATCACGGCCACCACTCAGAAAACAAAACGGGAAACACACACACCGCCCTGGGTTGCTAAACGCTAAAAGAAGCCTTCGGGTTCCGGGGCGTCTGCCTGCTGCGGTTGGAAACAGGATGAGGGAGCTATGGTGCTGGGGACACAGGATGAGTTGGTCGTTTTCATGTTGGAGATGAATACCTCTGCCGTGTATGGGGCCCCCCGCAGAGGGCTCTGAATGAGTGTGCATTAAATCAAATGCATACAGAAGAAACATGGATCATGGAAATTCACAGTTATTGCAGCCATTAAAGTGTCTAAGAATCTGTAACCAATAGTCCAAGGCAACCAGCTCTTAACTAGCTGTCTCGAGTTGCTACTGTAAAGTTTACTGCATTTTATCTATTTGCTTACCTGAAATAACAGAGCAGTTATAATACTGATTACTTATGTTAGTCTTCTGTTAATAAAATAAGGATTTATACAAAGCAATATCGGACTTTTAAAACAGTTAGATGCTATGTTACTTCACAGTTAGTTCCAAGGCAACCAGCTCTTAACTAGCTGTCTCGAGTTGCTACTGTAAAGTTTACTGCATTTTATCTATTTGCTTACCTGAAATAACAGAGCAGTTATAATACTGATTACTTATGTTAGTCTTCTGTTAATAAAATAAGGATTTATACAAAGCAATATCGGACTTTTAAAACAGTTAGATGCTATGTTACTTGGCACAGTTAGTAATGATCATGTAAAGATTTCCGCCAGTCCCGGGGGGGGGGGGTTCTCTTCTTTTTATGAAAATACAGAAGAATATGAATTTTGTCCCTAGCATTTAAGTTTTTGGTCTACCCTCTCACACGTTTGTCTAAGGTACTGTCTTCCTATCAGGTAAGTGGAGCTCCTTGTAGTCTATATTGCTAATTTCGTGGACTGAAACGTTTGCCTTTCACACACAAATCCTACCTATACAGTATATATATATATATTTATATATTTATATATTTATATTATATAAAGTTTACTTACGTATTTTCATCAACCATATCAGGTCTACTTAATTTTTGCCCATTGTCAATAAAAGAGCAATAATGCAGCAAGTTTTGGGTGTTTTGTTTGGTTCTGTCTCTGGTTTTTTGTGTCGTCTCTTCTTTTCCTAGGCTGGGTCCTCATCTGCGTGTATAGTGAGGGAGCAGAGAGCTGAGGGCTGCAGGTGGGGGGTCAGGGCGGGGAGCTCAACATCTACTTGGCCGGCGGCACCGTTTCAGGGCTGACGGTGGCCGAGGCCCACCTCCTGGGCTGAGGTGGATGGAGCCCGGGGCGCCACCGCTAAATGAAACTGGGGGCGGGGGGTGGGGGTTTGTTCCCTGTGACACAAGCCCCGGGGCTTGCGGGGGTTCCATCCGGGCTGGGAACAGATGGGGAGGTGGAAACAGAAAGCGCCCTGGGTCTGGTCTGGGGCTGCCACCCCTGGGCGCGCCTGTGTGGTGTGCACTTGTTCTGAGGGGCCCGGGACCCCCGCCCAGGCTGTCTACACAATTGTGCTGATGCCGCTGGGTTTGGCCTTGCTGCTGGGGAGGGGTGGCGGGGCAGGGGGCTGCCCGTGGTGGTGCACGGCATGGCCCACGTGGCCCGGGTGGCCGACGTGGGCCGAGGGCAGCGGCGGGTGGCTGTGCGCGTGGGCCCCGTAGGCGGGCTGCCCCCCATGGGGGCCGTGGTGGTACTGGTGTGCGTGCTGGATGTGCTGGGGCGGGTGGTAGTGGTGGTGGTGATGGTAGGGGGGCGGGTTCTGCTGGAGGGGGCAGTACTGGCCGTGATGCCCGTGCACTGGGGCCTGCAAGGGGCCCTCCGTGGGCCCCTGGGGGTGGCCGGGAGAGGGATGAGGCGGGTGGGGGGGCGGCTGGGGAGGGGCTGGGGGCAAGTGGGCCTGGGGAGGGGGCTTCCCTCTCTTACTCCCAAATAAGGAGCCCAGGAGGGAGGAGGAGTTGGGCATGGCCTGGTGTGGGCGAGATGGACAGTCTCGTGTTGTAGCTCTCCGGCGCGTGTGAGGACTGCTAATGATGGACCCCTAAAAAGGAAATTCATAGAAACCAAAATTAAAAGAGCTTAGCGCACTTACATCAGAATGATTCTTAAGAAATGTCAAAAAAAAAGCTCGCCCACTGACTGCTAAGCCTTAGTTCAACTCGCTAGCTGCAGAGGCCGGGCCGTGTGAGGCTGGACTCAGGCGCCACCTCCAGACACTGCCGTGCAGGTCGGCTGGGGGGACCAGGAGGGGGCCTTTGGGGAGAAAGATCGGGGCGGGGGGGACGCAGCCGCTGCGGGTCAAAGTTGACCTCTGCTCTTGGCCTGATGAGCACCCTGTTGCCTGAGGCGGCCGGAGCTCTGAGATCAGAACTGTGTGTCTGCGGGTGTGTGTAAGCCGAGTGTGCTGGGTAGGGCGGGGCGGGCGGGCTGCGTGCAGGGGAAGGGCCGGTCCTGCCGCCTCCTGCCCTAAGCTCTCCTGGGTCCTCTCAACGTCCGAGGGCGTGTGCTCTGCCAGTGCCAGTCCCGAGGTTTCTGGGGAGGTGGTGAGGGGGACAGGAGGGGCTGGGGAAGCCCCGTCCTGGGGGTGGGCACCGCCTAGGCATTTCACTGCGGCTACCTACTGCAAACCAAACACGGGAAAGGAAGGAAACAGAAAGGTCTGCAAGCTGAGGTTCGATGTGAACAGGGATATCGAGATGGCTGGAGGATGAATGAAACCTCATGAAATCCACACTGAATTCCTCTCCCTCTCATGGCTCTCCGCCCCCGAGCTAGCTGAGCAATTCCGTGGTGCCCTGACTGCAGACACACAGCAATCGAACCTCCAGGAAGGAAGCGATGGGGATGGCGGAGCATGGAAGTCCCGAGGTGGCAGAACCCCACAGCGAGGGGGCGGGGGAGGGTGCCCGGCGGCCGCCGCCTCCGGCCCAGGATGAGTGGGAAGCCGGGGTGTTAACCATGCTCGGGACCGCAGGGATGGGTTAGGCGGAGACTAAACCACAACATCCAGACCCACCCCCTCCGTTGCAGCCCAAACAAGCGGTGAGGGGCGTGGGAACGCCAGGCGGGCGGCATGCGCAGACGAGGCAGGCGGGGGGTCTGAGCCTCTGTGCAGAAGGGGAGGAGGAGCAAAACAAAAAGACACCAGGAGGCGACACACGACAGCCAGCTGGACGGGGGCTTCCGACTTACTTCCACATTGCTCTCTAGCGATCCCGCACTGCTGCGACGCCCTCGCTTCCCTGCCCAGAACATGCAATACCACAGGTTAGACGCGACATGGGGCGGGGCGCTGCCGCCGGATGGCCCGGGGGAGCCGGTGGCAGGGCAGTAATGAGTTAACAAGACAATGGGGTTCTTAAAAAGAAAAAAAAAAAAAAAAAAAAAA